GGCGGTTCCGACGAGCCGCTGGACCCAAGGAGTGACAAAGCCGCGGAATTTTGACAGCAGAGCCAGCGGTGTGATTAAAGCAATTAATGACCGTTTACTACCTTCTAACTCATCCTTTCCAATTGTCTCTTTCGACAATTTACGAAAAGGGAAACCGCTTTTGTGGACTTCCTTAGTTGATGCTCTCTCCACTGTGGGGGCAATAATGCAGTGACAGTCTCTCTGGGTGAGGACAGTGGTAAACACTAATGGTTATTTCACCGACGGGAGCTGTTTCAAAAAGGGCTTCCGTTTCATAATGATTGCATGACCTTCCTAAAATACCTGCATATCAAATTGATAAATAAATGTATCTTCAATCTGTATATATAAAAAAAAAAAAAATCTGTACATTAATTGATAAATAAAATGTTCTTCAATCTGTATCGAGAATAAAAAAAAAAAAAAATCTGTACATTAAATTGATAAATAAATGTATCTTCAATCTGTATCGAGAATAAAAAAATATCTGTACATTAAATTGATAAATAAATGTATCTTCAATCTGTATCGAGAATTTAAAAAAAAAATCTGTACATTAAATTGATAAATAAATGTATCTTCAATCTGTATCGAGAATTAAAAAAAAAAAAAATCTGTAACATTAAATTGATAAATAAATGTATCTTCAATCTGTATCGAAATTTAAAAAAAATCTGTACATTAAATTGATAATAAATGTATCTTCAATCTGTATCGAGAATTTAAAAAAATCTGTACATTAAATTGATAAATAAATGTATCTTCAATCTGTATCGAAAAAAAAAATATATCTGCACATTAAATTGATAAACAAATGTATCCAATCTCTATAGGACATATACTCACCCATCTAAATCACCGATTATCATTATAAATTGTCAGACAGCTGTGTAATTGGGAACGACAATCAAACACCAACAAAGTTCTCACACAAAAGAAATAAATCATAATTCATTCAAATCATAGGATTACAGCGAAGATGTCGTTTTGCAGTAATTGGCTCGCAAAGCTGCAAAATACATCCTTTAAGCTGCATGAAAGATTATGGGCCAATAACACCTCAACTGTCATTATAAACCACACATTCAAATTGTCAGTTGTGCGAATTGCTCTTCTTGTCTGTTGTGAGTTGTGCGAATTCTTGTTGTTGTGAGTTGTGCGAATTGCCTTCTGTCTGTTGTGAGTGCGAATGATTGCGCTTTCTTGTCTGTTGTGAGTTGTGCGAAGTTGTGCGAATTGCTCTTCTTGTCTGTTGTGAGTTGTGCGAATTGCTCTTCTTGTCTGTTGTGAGTTGTGCGAATGTTGAAGTGCGAATTGCTCTTCTTGTCTGTTGTGAGTTGTGCGCTTGTCTGTTGTGAGTTGTGCTCTTCTTGTCTGTTGTGAGTTGTGCGAATTGCTCTTCTTGTCTGTTGTGAGTTGTGCGACTTGTCTGTTGTGAGTTGTGCGAATTGCTCTTCTTGTCTGTTGTGAGTTGTGCGAATTGAGTTTGTGTGAGTTGTGCGAATTGCACTTCTTGTCTGTTGTGAGTTGTGCGAATTGCTCTTCTTGTCTGTCGTGAGTTGTGCGAATTGCGCAGCTCTGCTTGTGTTCCGCGGGGAATGCCGTAAAGACAAGTAAACTATAAAACACCAAGATATTTTTCCCATCGAGATATTCCCTGCAGGTTTGTTTACTTGGAAGATTTATGACTTTATGACAAGATTTATAGCAACTCCACACGCAAGAAGCGGCCACACGCACGCACGCACTCAATACATATAGAAATACACACAAATAACAAGCTGGTAGGCACACGAACGTATATCTGTCTCCTTTTTTGTCTTTTTTTCCCTTTCTGTTCACTAGTGTTTTTTTTTTTCAGAGGACATCAAGTTCTCACGCGAATGCTCATCTCTTCACGCAAGTTCGCTTTCTCTCTCTATCTATTTGTCTCTCTGTCTATCTATTATCTATCTGCCTGTCTCTCCAAGTCTCTCTCTCTCTCTCTCTCTCTTCTCTCTCCTCTCTCTCTCTCTCTCTCTCTCTCTCTCTCTCTCTCTCTCTCTCTCTCTCTCTCTCTCTCTCTCTCTCTCTCTCCTCTCTCCTCTCTCCCTTCTCCTCTCTCTCTCCCTCTCTCCTCTCTCCTCTCTCCTCTCTCTCTCTCCCTCTCTCTCTCTTCTCTCCTCTTCTCTCCTCTCTCTCTCTCCCTCTCTCTCTCCTCTCTCTCTCCTCTCTTCTCTCTCTCTCTCTCTCTCTCTCTCCTCTCTCTCTCTCTCTCTCTCTCTCTCTCTCTCTCTCTTCTCTCTCTCCTCTCTCTCTCTCTCTCTCTCTCTCTCTCTCTCTCTCTCCCCCTTTCCTCTTCTCTCTATATATAATCTATCTGTCTATCTATCTATCTTTCTATCTGCCTATCTACTTTTTTGCTTCTATCTCCTTCTCTGGGCACAAATTTATTTATGTATATAAATGTTCATATACGGATATATGTAAGTATGTATAG